GTAGATGGACACAATACCTTTATTTTAATTTTTTTAATGTGTTGCTGAGGATCAAAACCAGTGCCTTCCACATGCAAGGTAAGCATGCTACCACTGAGCTACAATGCCAGCCCTCCAACCCTATTTTGTATTTTATTTAGAGACAGGGTCTCACTGAGTTACTTAGCATCTTGCTTTTGCTAAGGCTGGCTTTGAACTCGTGATCCTTCTGCTTCAGCCTCCTGAGCCACTGGGATTACAGGTGGGTGCCACCAGGTCTGGCTTGTTCAGTTTTATATTTGCATGATTCATACATGTTTTTGTGCATGGCTGTACTTTAATTGTCATTTCTACATAGTACTCCACAATTTGTCCATTCTACTCTTTTTTGTTGTTTTTATTTTGAGTTGGGGTCTTACTATTTTGCCCAGGTTGGCCTCAAACTCCTGGAATCAAGGGATCCTCTTGCCTCAGTGTCTTGAATTCCTGAGACTATAGTTGTAGGCCACTACATCCAGCTTATCTGTTCTACTTTTTTTTTTAAAAAAGTATTTTTTAGTTGTAGATGGACATAATGCCTTTATTTCATTTGTTTATTTTTATGTGGTGCTGAGGATCAAATCCAGTGCATCACATGTGCTAGGCAACCTCTCTGCCACTGAGCCACACCCCAGCCCCTGTTCTACTCTTGATGGAATGTTGTTGTTTTTCTAGTCTGAACTATTATGAACCTCCTGTATGTCTGTTGGTAGCTGTATATACATTTCTCTAGGATGTATACCTAGGAGTAAAATTGCTGGATCCTTGAGGATCCATATTGCGTTAGCATTCTAGCACTGTGAAAAAAATACCTGAGATAGATTATTAACAGGAGGAAAATTTATTTTGGCTCATAGTTTCAGTCCATGGTCACTGAGCTCCATTGCTTTTGGGTCTGTGGGGAGGCACAACATCACAGTGGATGCATATGGTAGAGGAGGCCTGTTTACCTCATGGTGGCTGGGAAGCAACAAAAGAGAGGAAAGGGCTGGTGTTCCAATATCCCCTTCAAGGGCACACCCCCAATGACCTAACATCTTCCACTAGGACCCACCCCCTAAAGGTTGACCACTTCCCAATAGTGCCACAGGCTAGACAGCACACCTTCAACATATGAGCCTTTGGGAGGTTTTCAAGATCCAAACTATTGCATGAATCTTCAACTTTAAAGATAAGGACAAACTTTTTTTTTTTTTTGTTCAAGTGATTAAGCAACTTGATTACTGTGCATGAGAGTGTCTGTTTTTCTATATCTTCCTCAATGCTAGTAATTATCAGACTTTAAAAATAGTCATTCTGAGGCTGGGGTTGTGGCTCAGTGGTAGAGCACTTACCTAGCACATGCAAGGCACTAGGTTCAATCCTCAGCACCACATAAAAATAAAATAAATAAAATAAAGGTCTATCAACAGCTACAAAAAATTTTGCCATTCTGGTGGATGAACCACAATCTAGATTATGAACATATTCATCACCCCCCCAAAAATTTCTTCACACTCTTTCCTCATGCTCTATCCTCTGTCACTCCTAATTTCTCTGTCAATAGATGAGGTTAAGTGCCTTTTTTGTGTTTATTAAACATTTGGATTTCTCAACAAGCTTGAACAGTGTCATGAAGTCATTGAATGAGAGTTGGAAAGAGGTTGAAGAGAGGTTGAGAGGTTGTGAGGGATTGAAGAAGTTAAGATTTCAGTGGTACATGAGTTCGGAGGCATATAATGGTCTACTCCAGGCCCTGCAAGTATGTGAATGGAGCAGAAAAAGTAATCATCAGAAGTGAGGAAGCCAGAGGAATGAGAAACCAGGGATGTGAAACAGATCTTCCACATAAATGATGAAGTGATCTGGGTTTTGGTAAGGCTAGCAGGTGGAAAGAATGACTGAATGAAGGAGAGTGCTTGAGAGGTGCAGCAGCCATAGTCTGGAAGGTGCAGTGGGGAGCAAAGAGGAGGCCTGGCCCATCTCCAGACACAGAAGTATTTGGGGAGGGAAGCAGTTTTGGAGGAGAACCTATAAGTGGGGTTCCCAGGAAAAAAACGAGTCTCAGTGAAGGAAGGTGTTGAGGGGAGCTTTTTGTATGGGCTATTGGGGTACTTACCAATCCCTAGAACTGGGGTTCCAGTGGGCACTGTTGAAAAAGACATAGGGGAGGGGTAGCAGAGTGGAGGCTTAGAACACTGTGGAGTAAATGCTGAGAGAAAAGAGAAGACCAGAGGAGTTCATAGCCATGGTGGTGATTCCTAGATAACAGGAAGGTGAGGCACCTTGATTCTGGTTCCCAAGAATGGTCCTATTGGATGGTAAGCTCATTGAGGGCAGGCATGATGTCTACATTGGCCACTGCTCTATGCTCAGCACCTAATGTTCTGTCTGGTATGTCACAGGAGCTCATACACATGTGCTGAATGGAAGAATAAAATAAGTAGCTGGAGGTGCATGCAGTGTCTGGTCCATTGTAGATGCTTGATAGATATTAGCACCATTTAATTTATGGTATTTTATGATAAATTGATTTACTTGCATATGTTGCATGACATGTCCTTGGAAAGGTTTTACTAGTGGGTACTAATGAGGCTTGTGAAACACCAAAGTCCAATTAAGGATGCCAGTGTGTATCCTTGAACTGGTGACTACAATTTTAAGAAAGCTATAAACCTAATCAAATGAACTATAGTTGATTTGAGGTAAGGAGTAGGTGAGGTCTATAAAAAAGGAATCAGAAAATAAGAATTTTTATTTAGCAAGCAGTGTTCATGGGAAATATACCTGTGATGGACACAATTTGTGTTACTTGGGAGTTCTGTCAACAAAGAACATTCTTCAGCTGTCATTTTCTTTAGAGATTGCTTCAGAGGATGAGAGACATCTTGTCCAAGGTTATACCCTTAGTGGGGTTGCCCAGACCCAATGATCCATTGAAGCCCAGGTATGAAGGCCTGCCCTGTGGCCCAGCATAGGACAACTGACTGGTTATTTGAACTCCAGAGCCTGCCATCAAGTGAGCAAAAGCTTTGCCACATCTGTATTGCTGTTCTCTTCTCCTCCTGCATAATCCTCTTTCCTTCCCTTCTCTTCCACAGATGTGGATCCCTAGGGCACTCTCTGGAGAACATTCCACATGGTAAACTCCATCTCAGAGTCAGCTTTTCCAGGGAACCCCATCTGTGACAACACCTTAATGCAAGGGTTACACACTTTAAAGGCCTTCAGAAAATGAAGTTGGCTGGGTTAACTCCACTAGGGAGTGGTAGGGAACTAGGTCAATTGGAGAGATTGTGCTCTATCTAAATTTGAAGAAATTGGCAAACAACATTGTACTATAGGTGATGTGTTTAATTCAACTTGAGAGATTCCATCTCTGACATTTGCTTGATAGGTTGTTAATTATGGTACCAGGACCTGCCTTTTACATGTCTTTGGTGAGTTTGGTCAGTGTTGGTCAGTCCCTAAATGCATCACCAACTCATGGTGCTATGGCTTAAGGAGGTTCTGAGCCTTCCAGGGTAAACCCCAGACTCAGATCTGTTGGATCACACCCAGGCACTGCCTGCAAGAATGCCACGTACAGCCAGCCTCCTCCTTTGACCTTTATCTTCAATTTTAAAGCTCGTTGTTGTCTGAGAACAACCCTGGCCCCTCTCCCTTCCCATGCTTGCTTATTAGACTGTTTGCAGTTCTGTTGTGTCTTTTTCAGAAGAGTAGCCTGGTGGTATCAGGGGACACAAGCTGGCACTGAGGTCTATAGAGACAGGGTTGCAGGCTGCAAGGGTCTCAGCATTACAGTCCTTACTTGCTAAGAACAGAGAACAAATTCCCTTTTAGATGGGAGTTGATCCTCACGTTTGGCTGTGACCATCTGCATTGGTGGGAACACACCCTTTTTTAAATATTTATTTTTTAGTTTTAGGTGGACACAATATCTTTATTTTATTTTTACGTGGTGCTGAGAAACGAACCAAGTGCCTCATGCATGCTAGGCTAGCACGCTACCACTTGAGCCACATCCCCAGCCCCAGAACACACCTTTTTTGAAGGATGAAATTGATCTGGACCACATCTGGTTTGAATATTTTTGCTCCTGGCCAGACTCACTCTGGTCTACCTCACTGGTGGCTTTATGGAGCCAGAGAACAAAGAGGAAACATGTTTGCTAAGGCCACCTCCTCTCATCAAGAGCATAGTGATGGCTGCCCACTTCTCTAGAGCTTTGCCACATCTATAGCCCCTTGCTGGCTTCATGAGAGGCCAAACTTGAATCCTTGAAATGAAGTCCATGAACACAGATTACCTGCCTTTTGTTGTTGTTGTTGTCGTCGTCGTTATTGAGGTTGGAAACAGGGACCTCATGCATGCCAGGCAAATACTATCATTGAACTACATCCCCAGTCCCATATGTCTTAAGGCTATGGTTTGGTGGGCTGGAATTCTGCAAGATATTGTATGACACATTTTTGTTTGGGGCTTTCAAGGGTTTGTGAGCATCAAATTCAATCTGTCTGGGCCCTGCATGAAACTGAGGGAAGATCAAAACTTCCAGCTTCACTTGCCTTTAGTTGACTTTAAAAATCAATACTTTTGGAGGTCACATAGCTGAGCAATATATTATTAGTCTCTCACTATCTTCACTGTAGGTAACAATCTGACATGTGGATCATGTTGATGACAATCTCCTAGTTTACTTTTCAGGGTTCTAAAGGCTGCTTTTGTTGAAACTACTGATTCTTCACTTGTGTATGGGTGTCCAGTGCATGACTTTTTGGCTTCAGAGGGTGTTTTCTCTCCTCATACTTTATACTCATGAATAATGTGTTTCTGTTTTACCAAAATTTTTACTTCAGTGATTGGCATACTGTACAGTGGGCAAAATGGGCCTGGTAGGGTAACATACACCTGTGTGGTCGGAAAAACATGCTCATGAATCAGGTTTAGGGGCTGAATAAAGCCATCATTGCTTCAATGAAAACCAGAGGGCAAAACAGAAAATGATTTAACCGAAAAAGTTTATTTTAAGAAGACACAAACAGCTCTAGCTATATAAAGAATACAGTTCAATTGCTGGTAGCAAGCCAGTAAGGAATGCTTTTTAAAAAAAGAAAAGAAAAAGAAAGACAAGAAAAACCCTTTGTATATCACCCCACAGAGGGCTCCCTTCCATTTTGTGTTGGAATCTTACCTAGACTGGGATTGTGGTCTCTCTAAGTTTCTGCTTCTTCTTGAAATTCTGATCCAGGGACACGTTCTTGTCACTGGGGGAATCACCTTACCTCTTCCTTCCAGTTTAGGATACTGATCTGTAAATTCCTGTCTCCCTTGTTTGTCTTAAGTGTATTTCTGGCACTTATTAAGCACTGAATATAAGTGCTAACTTAACAAAATTCTGCTGCCTGGTTCTGTACAGTAGTACTGGCCAATCCTCAGTCCTCACTTTGCTTTTGGCAGGGGGACTCCTTTTAGGTCCAAGGCACAAACCTGGTTTCCCTTTCTAATAATGGAAATCCTGAACAGAACATAGAAAGGGACTGTCATGGGTGCTTTAAAATAGGGAAATCCTGAAAGTTACTTGTGTCTCTAATTTTTTAAAAAATTTAGATTTCAGTAAGTGGATAGATCCCTGGGCTCAAGTAACAGAAATCAAACTAGAGGCCCTAAGAAGCAAATTTGCTGAGTTAGGAAAGGCTGCAACCTGAGGGCTATTTCCGAATGACTGAGTCCACATTGAATTTAAATCCTGGCTTTCTGTACACTGGCCTGTCCAGAAGTGTCACAGAGGAGTTTCTTCAAATGGCTCCCTGGGGAGGAGCCGATGAAAACCAATGGAAAGGTCTAAAAAGACAAGATAGGGGAGATACCTCAGGAGCCCCACCATCCTGTTCTCCTTAATCAGTCCCAGCAGAACTGGCCCTGGACCAGAAGACCAATGAGGGAGCTAGGTGGTACGCGCGTGTGATTCATTAGTGAAAGTGGCCCTCATAGTCCAGGTGGAGAAACCACACTCACATACACAGGCACATACCTTCTCGTCCACTCCTATGTCCCAATGTTTCTACAAGTGAATGTAAAAATGTGAATCTGAGCTTCAGAGCCCCAAGTAGTATGAGGTGTGGAGACAGAAGCAAGGTGGAGAAATGTGAAGGAATTTTGAGAATCATTTTAGAGGTTCACAAAACAGGAGGTTGTGGGCTGAATATCTGTTGGTTATAGCATTGCATGGAGCTCATCCCAGGATCTGGGGGCCCAGGACACAGAAAAACTGTGGGCACAGAATACCTTCTGCACCTTATTGGCTTTCTTGTCAGGGCTGAGTGCTCTGTCTAGTACTAGGTCCAAATCATTTTTAGGAAATAAACACATGGAAATTCTGAGTTTTAGAACTTGCCTTTAGAACCAGGAAAATTGGTGATTTCTCTAGGAAATCATAGACTGGATTAGAATTTATGGCCTGAACAACCAGACTTTCCAATGATAGTCCTAAACTTGTGATGGCAGTATGGGGCAGGAGAGAGCAGCCCAAGGTGTGGGGAGCAATGACAAGATTAAAGAAATAAGAAAACTCAGAAATTCATTCTTTCCTACTACCTTACTTCCAACCTGGTGAGGCAGAGGAACACTTAAAAACAAGGAACAAGGACAGATCCAGAAAAGAACGAGTGTTTCTACACTGAGGTAGTCAGTAATGAGAGCTAGTCAATGAGGGACATCCAATGTAATGGTTGGCACATGCAGCCCCTCTCTCCCTGCCCATGTGCAGTCAGACTGATCTGATGATGCAGGAAATATGAGGGCAGTGAGCCACATCATCTGATATACAACCCACTTACCACTTGGGACAGGTCACAGAAATACCTGTTCCAGATAGTGATGATGATGACAAGCAGGCCAAGTTCAGCCTGAGGTTTTGTATGGCCTATAAGCTAAGACTTGTTTTTACATTTTCCAAGGTCTGTAAAACAAATGAAGGAACAAACAGTAACAGCAAAGAAAAATGTGTTAGAGACTGTATGTGGTCCAGAAGGCTTACAACAGTTACTGTCTGGCCCTTTGCAGAGGAAGAGTGTCAGTCCCTGGTCTAGATGATGGTGGAAATCCTACCAATCTCTGGTAAGAAGCCTCTGAGGTCCCTGAAAAGGGAAACCAGAGGAAGTCCAGAAGAAACAGGGGGATGATAACAATAACTGGAAATACCATTCAATATGATTGGCACAACCCTCAAAGTGCACTGCCTCCAAGTCCACAGAATAGTAAGATATGCATGAACTAAGGAAGGAAGTCCAAGGATAGCCAAAGAGAGAGCCACATTTAAGAACATTAGGCAAAGAATATTCTGGAAAAGACACTCCATGCAGAGCTTAGTACTGATTAGGGAATTGTATTATTTTTCAATAAGAAAAAGATGAGGTTTGAGCCCAGGGATTGACAAAATATCAAGCCAAGTGAAGTTTCTAGAACACTGCTGAGTAATGCACGAACATCTAACAATCTGAAAATTTCTCATAAAGATTAAGGGAAGGCTAAAGTAGATTCTAGGAAAGCTAATATTGGTTTGCCCTACTTAAATAAACACCAAATACAAAAGTTCATACTAAAAAAATAGAGACATTAAGGGACAAGAGGAGCCTTGGTTTTTCAAAAGAAATCCCCAGAAGATTCCCTTATATAGGAAGCCTCCCTACTAAAAATGAAATTTGATCTATAAAAACCCATTTCACACAATTTTTAGGTACAACATCCATTATACAAAGTAGGGCACAGATACTGAATATGGAGGGAACAAAAGTTTCTAAGCTAAAAATCAGATTTATCTTTGGATTCATGAACTAAAGAACTCTTGAGCATTTTTTCTTAAAGCATATGTATATATATATATATATTAATTCATTGAAATACCTGGGAAATTTGAAAGTCATAAAAGTAGAAGAAAGCTGTGGGTATTCTATAAGTGTAGTACTTTAAGTGACAAAACATTCAGCCCAGAGGCAGGAGACCTGGAATTGAGGTTAGGCCTTGCCTCTGGCTCACTGCCTGACCTTAGGTAAGCTATTTGACCATTCTGGTCTCAGTTTCCTCATCTATGGAATGAGAGAGGTTGGTCCCTTTCAACTCTAACATTCTGTGAATATAGATAAATATAGAAATAAGATAAATACAACAATCTTGAAATAAGAAATATTCCCCAAAGTAAGTTTTGGAGTTAGTAGAAAAAAGTAGCAATGAGATATAATAAAAAGAATAAAATCTTAACTACTAGACAGAGTAAATATATATCATTGAAAAATGAATGAAAAGGTTTGCAATTTACAATTGATCAGGAGACATCAGAACATACATATTGATATTTCTTCACCATCACACATACAGAGGAAGGTATGAGTTTGAGGTGACTGGAACAATGAGCACAATGCTGCGTTTGCATGCATAAAATTTTATAAAATTGGACATAAAAAAGCTCAAGACCACATAAGGAATAAATTTCTATAAAGCTTGGCATACAAAGAGGCTGAGGGGGTTAACTGTTCCGGTTCATATTTTGTTTTGGAGTTCATTGCTATCAAACTCCATTCTTTAGGCAAAAATCTTAAAATCAAATATACTTCTGCCAGAGCCCTCTTGGAGAATAGCCACCATGGTGAAGACTGTTGTTTAAGGATTGGCAATACCAAACAAGTGTAACACCTTTCCCTTTTTTTTGTTTAAATTCAGTTAATTTTCTTTTAAAAACCCAAACCAGGTCAGATGTGCTGGCTAAGTCAAATCAAAGGTTTTGTAGTTTAAATAATTGATTCAATCTGGTATTTATTTATTTATTTATTTGTGGTAGTGAGGGTTGAGCCTAGGGACACTTACCATCCAGCTTTTTTTTGTTTGTTTGTTTTGAGACAGACTCTTGCTAGGTTGACAAGGCTGGCCAGGAACTTGAGATCCTCCTGCCTCAGCCTTCAAGTTACTGGGATTACAGGCGTGTATCACCACACCTGGCTCAATTAGATAATTTCTTTTTTTTTAAAATAAGTTTTAGTTGTTGATGGACCTTCATTTATTTATTTATATGTGGTGCTGAGAATCAAATCCAGTGTCTCACACATGCTAGGCAAGTGCTCTACCACTGAGCCACAACCCTGGCCCTCAATCTGATAATTTCTTAACACCGAACAAATATATGCCTAAGACAATGATATACATCTTTTGGCCAGAAACTGATCACTGTAATGTCATCCAAAATAACAGGAAAGGTTGGGATCAGTTGAAGAGTTGTGGCTGTAGTGATTCAGGGCCTTGAAGGAGTAACATCACTGGACCACACACACACTCACTCTCTCTCTCTCTCTCTCTCTCTCTCTCCCCCTCCTCCATGGATGCTGCTATTGCCAGTCCTGGAACCACACTTAAGAGAATCACTGGCCTAGATTTTGGGCTTTACTGAACAAAAGTATATACCTATCTTACATAATCCATTGCTCATGCAAATTTCTTTTGCTAGTGTATTAAAAGTGTTGTGCCCCTAATATGTGTTCATAACCATTTACTACTATAGTTCTCTATAAGCCTATTTCAAAGTATTCTAAAACTTTGCTTATTTCATCATTGTTTAAATCATTATACTGTTTTCTGCCCTTTGACAAAGGCACTTCTTTGTATCTCTTTCCCACTCTTTCATCCTTTTAAATCTAATATCTTTGTCACTTATAGCTGAAATACATGCAAAGGCTTTAAAGGGACTGGGTGCTCTGATAATAATATGGTCTCATTCTCACACCAAGCTGAAGTGATAGCACATAACAGAGGTAAAATGGGGGGAGGGAGAGCAGAGGCCTGTGTTTAATAAAGTTGTACCTCCAATAAGTATCACTACCAATACTGGACGACTGACATTGATGGACACGGGTTGCACAGTTTAATCTTTCACAAACAGGACACATTTCCACAAACTCTTCAAATTTTTGTGTTCTTTTACTCAAATGATAAGTAGTATTAACTCTGTTATATAACATGTTAATGTACAATATGAATGATCTAGGCCTTCTCAGTGGCTTTTAGAAGCCAATTCTGAGAGTCTCTTGGTAGTAACCATACTGAACAGCACTGGGTATCTGGATAATCTGATTGACCATCAGCTACTATCTATAATTATTCCAGGAGATAAAGTTATTTTCTATACTCTGGAGTTAGCCATCAGGGAATCTGGCCTTTCCATGGTGAAAAATACACTTTTACAATTAGTTGATGCCTAACATTCTGCAAGTAGAACTTCATTCCTTTGGCTTAAGGCTTTCCCCTGTTAAAATGCAAGCAATCCTCAAAAGAGGTAGCATTAAGCCTTATTTATAATCTCAAAGTAAATTAATTTATCCCTTTCCTGAGAGCGTGTTTTCTTAGAGAGGGGAGAACAAAGCAGGAGGCACTAAGGAGAGTTGGTGCTGGGGGAAGGGAGCAGAAGGAGACTGAGGATGGCGTGGGCAGACCTCCAGTTTATTCACTATTTTTCTGAAGGGCTGTCCCTACTGAAATGGGTGCTAACTTGTCGCATGGAGCAGGTTACTTAGAAATCAACTATGTTTTTTGATAACTCTGAAGATTCTGTGATGCGTAGGCATACAAAGGCTTCTAGCCTGAATGAAAGAACAGATACCAATAAAACATTTGGTGCAACAACAGATAGGAAGTTAGCCTCCCAAATCAGAACAATACGTGGAAGAAGAGAAACTGATATCACTTTGAAGAGTGCAAATCACAGGGCCCGGACGAGGGTAAGGCACTTGCAAGGCCCTTAGAGCAGGCAGGCGCCTACTTGGCGCTTCGCCCACCTCACCCCAGTCCTGGCCCTGGCAAATCATATTAAAGCGAAAGCTCACCATTTGTGTCACAGACTTGGTGAATATGGAAGGCTGAACCAGTGAGGAGCAACACTGAGCATGAACTTGTTTTTTTTTTCCTGACTAGTTCCAGGATGAGGAAGAAGACAGGTTTATAGGCAGATCTGCTCAGAGAGATAGGTACAATCGGATCTGTGTTGTCTAGATAGTTAAAGTGGATGTCAGACAAAAATGCTTGTTAGGACAGCTTTGGAGACTCTGTTGTCATTATTCATTTGTGGTAATTTCTCCAGATCATTATCAGCCGGTCAACTTGTGGTCATTAAACCAATGTGAACTATTGGCTGCCTGTAGCCTTGTGTCTTTCATGGTTGAGCTGTTATCTAGGGCTGTAGTTCATGGGTGTTGGGGGTGAGGGACAAATTGGAGCCAGGTGGGAGGCCCAGGCAGTCCAAGTAGTACAGGCAAAAGAGAGGAGGCACCAGCAAAGCCTGCATTTGAACTAAGAACTTACTAATGTCCACATTAGAACCACAAATATGTAATGAATCCCCACTACATGCAAAGCATTCTGAGATACCAATTAACTGCCTCTTTGGGGATGGCTCCCTCTGCTCATGACAAGACCAAAGCCACCTACTACTACTGGTGGGGATAAAGAGAGTTGAAGTTGGAAACTGACATCCTGGGGCTAGCTTCACTTCCCTCCAACCTCTTCAATATTCCACTTTTGAAAATTATTCTCATTATTATTCATAATAGTCATAGCAGTGGTAGTAGCTTTACTGAGAGCCTTCTTGGGGATTTTTCTCTCTGTTCTCCAGCCTCAGCAGAGTAGGCCCAGAAGGTGGCAAACATGGTGGTAAATGCCTGGGTGGGAGAGAAAATCGGTGCTATGGTAATCAAGGCAGGGCTGGGGATATAGCTCAGTGGTAAAGCACTTGCCTTGCATGCATATGGTCCTGGGTTTGATCCTTGCACCACAAAAAAGTGATAAGGGCAGGAGAGAGGTTGAGTGTTAGGAGAAGAAAAGATGCTTGGTATTAATTAAATCAATGAATTGTAGAAGATTTATGGTTTGGTTTTTGGGGGACTAGATCCATCTTTTGCAAAATATTAAATGAATATTTCCAGTCCTAAATGTTGTCTCTCACCATACAATCTCTGCTCCCAAATCCTCTTGTGCTAATGGGGACATGTGTGGGCCATGGTAATGACACAAAGATATTAAAAAAATTCTAGGCATATGGAGTTCTGTAGAGGAAAACAAGGATCACAGAAACTGTAAAACACCAAAGTGTCTGGGTATTTAGCTTTAGAAACTTTAGGGAATGTCTCCATAGGTAGCAAGGCAAAGGGAGAGGCAAAACCCACTAGAACTCACAAACAAGAAGCTTCCAGAAAAAACAGCAGAAGTAATAAGTCCTACATTATACTCTCATACTTTAGAGTTCAGCTGTTCATAATGGTTCCCAAGGAGCAGGCTCTGGCAGCCTTTCACTTTTGTTAGGCAAAACCACAAACACTCCTTCATTTCCTTCCAGAGCAAAATGTTTCCATCATTTGGAATTCTGAGTCCAGGACAGATAAGTGTAGCATTCATGTATAAACTAAGGCCAAGGATGAATCTATTTTATTTCATTTCTGGCAACCTCCCAGAAACTTCAAACCAGATAGTTCAAATACTTTCAAAAGCAACTGGACTTTGACCAGCTGTCTACCATTCTCAGTGGCTTCTTTCTAAATCGGGAGAGTTGCTGATTGCAAGGGAGTTGGTGAGCCTGGCTGCTCCCATTAGTCTAGAATTCATAATTGGACCAACCAGTAGCCTAGGCCTAGGGCTTCTATGTGAGAAGCCTGAGTCTTCTTAGCACTTAAAGTGGGTTTTCAGTTTCTCTGTCCAACTGGAGTGAGGACAGTTGAGCTAAGAACTTGCTTCTCATTGGTGAAGAGTGTCCTATCAAAATTGAGATCTGCTTGTCACTGGAACTCTTGATGTATCTTCCAGGAAGTTGACAAATGAATCTGTAGGGTGAGCATAAAGGAGGAAGGGGTCTGGGAACCCTCTTTGTGAAGCAGGCTACAATTTCATTTGACTTTCTTTTTTGCCTCTTGCGACAGATAGACAATTAAAACTTTCCAACATTGGTCAGTAGGTTTTCTCTGTTCAATGCTTTTCCTGTCTTGTCCTCAACTCCCAGAAAGTAGGGATATGGAAATCAAATGAATCACTGCTCTTGCTCTGCTTAGAAAATTGAGCTGAAAAGAATAGTTAGCGGCTGATTGCTTTGGATGGGGGAGGGGTTGTGTTCCAAAACTCTTTTCAGTATCCCATTTACCCAAGTTCTTATGTACTCCCGGAGCATGGTTAACTGAAAGTTGGTCAAACAGCAGACTGTAAATGGCAAAAAGTAGCCCTTTTTGCATTATGGGCCATAGCAACTTGCAAGGTTGCCTTTAAGATTCTGGGTAGATCCTTTTAATCTATAAGTTCTTGGTTTTTGGAATAGAGTCAGAATTCCTTTAAACAAAATCCAACCAACCACAAAGTGCCATCTGAATTGAATGGTGTGGGGAAAAATGCACTTATTCTCCTTGAGCCTTTGATGATGCTGGCCCTTCAGCTAATTACTTCCTGTACTGAATGCTATATGCAAATGAAACAGGAATTCTTAGAATGCAGCATGACCTGGGCACAGATCTTAGCTATCCATGTTGACTGACATTTGAAGGACCTCAAGGCGCATGTGCGAGTTACCTTGGATAGATCTGAGGGAACAGCTACTTTGTTTGTTGGCTGAGCTTGGTTCATCCAAATCCACCCAGTCAGGACCTTTTCTAGATAATGTTGGGAGGTCCTATACATTTATTGAAACTCATCACCCTGATCTCCGTGTAGACAATCAAACTGAAAAAGGCATGAAATTTCAGGATAGAGTCACATTCATATTTTGCACCACAAAAGCCATCCAATCAACCCCATGCCGAAATAAGTGCACACCTGTAAAACTCACTGGAGGAATCACACTGTGGTTAAGGAGGCCTCGCAGTTTTTCTGTATCTCCATACAGGTTTGTCAAGGCCTCCATGAGAATGAATAATCAGCAATGGCACCTGATGGCCCCACCCCCAAGGGGCTGACAACCCCCTTTCTGCTCTCCTACTGAGGCTGCCAGTGGCAGAAGCCAGGGCTGGAGCAGCCAGGACATTAATTGAAAAGGTGACATGAAAAATATGGTACAACCTTTGCTTCTGAGAATTCCTCCTTAGTCAGTGCACACCACTGGGGGAAAATAAGAAGAAACCCAGTAACCAGTCATGGTGAGGGTGTAATTATGGAAATGCAAATGTTTAAAGACCATTCCAGCGCCTTACAACTTCAGTTCTAGTTGAAGTAGCCTCTTTCCTGCTGGCCAGAGTGTGAGTTAATGTAAAAGAAATGTAGGCTCTTTTGTGATTTCCATGGTTCCTTTTTATAACCCTTTCTCTTCCCCCTTCACTACTCAAGTTTAGTAAGTAAACCCTGTTTGTTGAACTCAGGGCTTAGGTACTGGAGTTATCGGTGTTTTCATAGTCTTTTGAAAACTGTGCAATAATTCTCCTAGCCAGTGGATTAGTGGTCTTCAGCAGTTCAGCTGCTGAGGGGCGGGACCTTGGAGCTGCCTTACTTCCCTTCTTCAGGAGCAAGGCCTTGAAATCATCATTTCTGCCAGCATCTAGGCTGGCAATGCCGCTTGACCCTGCAGTGGTGGCAGGCTCACTGATTGGAGAATCAGCTGTGTTCTTTACCGGTGAGTGAGAGCTTGGTCTGCTGCTGGCAAAACCCTCTCCAGGCTCCTTCCAGCCAAGCAGTTTTCTTTTGGACCTAAATAAGAGAAAGCTTGGTCTGAGTGAATTTGGGGTGCAGACATTTACGAAAACTTCATAGTGATGCAGCTGAGAATGTGTACATGGTAGTCTTGAAAGTGTATTGACTGGCTTTCTCTCCTACCTCTAAGCCCTTAAATCCCTGATTAGCCCCAACCGCATTCTCCACATGCCCTTCAATGTCCACTGAACCTCGGCCTGTGCCTGCAGGTTCAGTCTTGCCCAGGTTCTGGGACCAAGGACAAATGCAAGTAGTCTAGGCTAGTAGCTCAGTGACTGAATCAGGACAGTCTTGGGACTGATTCTGTTCTGAACTGGTGCTCAGGCTCTGGTAACTGGGTTCTTTCCAGGTTCCTTGTCACCAAGCCCCTCTCTGCCTTGTGCCCCTGTGCCTCATGTACTCCCCCTTTGCCTAAGTTCCTGCTTTGATATGCTGCCTAAGTGTCCCCACATCATCTCTTGATAGGATTTTGTGGTACAAGGAATTCTGTGAAGGGTTAAATGTCTCTGACTGTAGACAGAGCTGTGAGAGAGCAGATGGAGCCACAATAGGCCAAGCGGTTGCTAGGAGACGAGGGGCCTCTCACTCAGCACCTGGTCTTCCCCTCCCTTCCCCTCCTCCACTTTACCCAAAGATGTCAGTAAATTTGAGATGTGAGGCCCTGGACTGCACTCACATATGTGAGTATCTGAATGTAGTCTCCAGTTGCAATTGTAATGGCTGCTTAGAGGCAGCAGTTTTTCTTTAAGTAGAAAAAGGGACTGCAATAGAATGAAGGAAAATGGTTCAGACCTGTGTATCACAGTAAATAAATCTTCAGTTGTGCGTGAAGCCACAAACACGTCATCATCCTCCTCCGCAATCCATTCGGCTGTTTTATCACTGATTAAACTTTTCTCTTCAGTGCTTGGCTCCACAGAACTCCCTAGGCATAGAACCAGAAGGAATGAATGACTTTGACCACAACAGATAGGACAAATCACATTCATTCTTATATGTTTATTTCATCACATTTATTCTCATATGTTTATTTCATGTGATGTTCAAAGTAACTATGGAAGGGCAGCAGGGTGGAGATTTATAATGCTTTTGTTTTGCAGAGAAGGAACATGAAGTTAAGAAGAATGATTTGCCCAAGGTAGAGTGAGTGGTGAAGATTGCTCTGGGTTACTGTTTTCATGCACCTTTTTCATGACAACAGGTGGTCTAAGCATTCTCTTGTTTTATTTTAATTTTTATTTTTTTAAATAATTTTTTTACTTGTGGATAAACACAATACCTTTATTTTATTATTTTCATGTGGTGCTGAGTACTGAACCCAGTGCCTTATACATGTTAGGCAAGCACTCTATCACTGAGCAACAATCTCAGCCTAATTTTTATTTACTTATATATATATATATATTGTCCCAGTGTTAGGGATGGAACCCAAGGTTTCACATGTGCTAGATAAGTGTTCTATAACTGGGCTACACCCCTGGCACCTCTCATTTTAAATACATCATTTTTTATTGGTGTGTAATAATTATGCAGAATAGAGGGTTTAATTATGGCATATGGGGATTAAACCCAGAGATGCTTGATCACTGAAGTATATCCCCAGCCCTTTTAATTTTTTAAAAAATTTTGAGACAGGGTCTTGCTAAGTTACCCAGGTTGGCTCTAAATTTGTGATCCTTCTGCCTTAGCTTCCCAAGTAGTTAGGATTACAGGTGTGCACCACTGCTCCTGGCCATATCACACAATGTGCTCAACTGAAATCCTATTACCTCTTCTTGCCATTCCTTTCTCTCTTCCTGATCTTTCCTTTACTCTATTGGTCTCCCTTCTATTTTCATGATATCCCTTTTCTCTCTAACTTGCACAAATGAGAGAAAACATATAATCCTTGCATTTATGAGTCTAGCTTATTTCATTTAATATGATGCTCTCCATTTTTAAAACTCAAGGAACTAAGAGCAAGCTTAAGGAATGACTCTTATCCAGTGGGTGAAAGTGGGACCTGTCTGAATCTCAGCAGGAACCTGTGGAGTATGAGGAAGCATATTCTTTTTTTTCATTTTTTTGTGGTACTAGAGATTGAACTCAAAGGTGATCTACCATTGAGCTACATCTCCATCCCTTTTTATTTTATTTTATTTTGAGATGGTATCGCTAAGTTACTGAGGCTAGCCGCAAACTTGCAATCTTCCTGCCTCAACCTCCTGAATTGCTGGGGATTACAGACATGTGCCACCACACCCAGCTTCAGGTAACATTCTAAAATAATCCGTGACTTTGATTTATTTGCTTGTTTTAGAAGGTCATGAGATTGTGAGATTTGTTGTTAAGGATTTTAAAAAGATGAGAAACATGGATGAGCCTTGAGGACATTAAATGAAATAATCCAGTCACAAAAAAGACAAGTACTGTATGGTTCTACTTCTTTGAGATATCAAGAGTAGCCAAATTCATAGACCCACAAAGTAGAATGGTGGTTGCAATGGCCTTGGGGGAGGAGGAAAATAAGTGTTGTTTAATGGGTATAGATTTTCATTTTTTGCAAGATGAAAAGGGTTTTGGAGATGGGTATCTCAACAATACAAATACATTTAGCCCTAAAGCAATGCATACTTAAAAATGGTTAGGATGGGTGCTGGGGATGTAGCTGAGTGGTAGAGTACTTGCCTTGTCTGCTTGAGGCCCTGGATTCAATCCTCATTTACCACAAAAAATGCTTAAGATGGTAAATGTTATGTGCACTTTACAATTGAAACTAAAAGATGGAAATTAGCCAGGTACAATGGTACATGCCTGTAATGCCATCTACTCAGGAGGCTGAGACATGAAGGATGGCAAATTTGAAGCCAGCCAGGGTAACGTAGCAAGATCCTGTCTCAAAACAAAAAAATAAAAAAGGACTTGTGATGTAGCTCAGTGGGAGAGAACCCCTGGGTTCAATTCATACTAGTGCAAAAAAAAAAAAAAAAAGAAAGAAAGAAAAAAAAGTGAGAAACAAACAAAAAGGATGTGAATCATTAACTAGCTCTTATGGTTCCAAGTAAGTGTATACCTCTCGATGGCACCAAGAAAGGCTACTGGTGGTGATAGAATTCATTGTTTTAGAAGCCTGCATGCCAGCCATGGCACTTGAACTTGATCTGTGAGTGTACTGAGTCCCCTGCATGAAATTACATTTAGTGGGTAATGGAAAGTACTGTTCAGTGAGATAGAATGCTAGGCAGGGGATGCATGCCTAGTGAGTAGATCCTGATGTCCTAGTGTCCTAGGGGCTAGTTTGATTTCATTATCTCAACACCTGAATCAAGGGTAGACTCACCCAGACTTGACTTTGGAGATCTTCCCTAGATCAGTCCTGACCCCAAGGACAGTAAGGCCTACTTGCCTACAATTCCTATTCAGAATAACCCAAATCCTCAAGAGGTGTTCCTACTGATTTGGTTATCCTGGGATGAGGATAAGCATTCTAGGGCATCTGCTTCTTCCTTGGGTACTCCATCCTCACCCACATCCCTCCTGTGATTAAAAGAAAAAGCCCATGGGCAATTTACTAACCCAGAGAGCTTGCTTCCTTTTCACTGTCAAACTTTGGAGCTGAAGTTGTCCTTTTACCAGGCAGGTCATCCCTGATGGGGGGACACTTGGTATCTTCCTGCAGGGTGATGATGGGACTGAGAGGCAGTCTTGGTTCTGCCACATAGGCCTCCAACTGAGCTACTGGAGAGGTGAGAGGCAGGTACAGCACACTGGGCTTTTTTGGTACAGGAGGTGGAATCTTGCCCGTCTTTCTCTCGGCTTCTTCCTGGCTCTGGAGGCTAATTCTTTCAGGCAGGGCTCTCACCTTGAGGCCTTCGTCCCCCATATATCCCTGGAGAGGTTGCTGTGTTCCTGAGAAGAAAGCACCAGAGGAACTGGCAAAAGGCGTGAAAACAAGAGATGAGGGTCCTGTTGACTCCCCTGGGCTCCGGGCATCAGGGAAGCTAGAGGGCTTTGGTTTCCGCATCACCGTGTAGCTGTCTTGGGGGAGCGGCCTCACAGGTTGAATGGCATTCTTGGGGGTCACAGGTGAAGTTAGTGGGTATTCCTCTGGGACAGATGGTGGTTTATGGGTCAAGCTTGGAGGCCTTCGGGCCAGTGGAGGCTTCTCAGCTACAGGAGGTTTCACCTTTCTTTCTGGCAAGGTGAAGACTTCTGCTGTGGGTTCCTCAGCATAGTCTGGGCTCTCAGTGTCATCTTCTGGCTCAGACTTGCTGACTGACCTCAGGCGAACAGAACGCAAGTCAGACTGAGTAACCATGGGCATGACTGGCTGGTTGGGACTAGTTTTCTGTGCCAGCTTGGCCCCAAAATTGGTATCTGAGTGATGGCGGCTCACCTTGGTTTTACTGCGGATGGAGATACTCATCCCAGACAGATCTAGGTTGGCTGAAGAGGTCAATGGTAGGTCAAATGAAAGCCGTGACTTGGAAATTTTCTCCATTGGTGATGTTGGGGGTAGTGATGACTTTCTTTCAGGTACCACTGGACGTACCCGGACACTGCTGCTTGAACTGGGTAAGTGGCCCAGGGTCAAGGACATGGAGACAGTGGGTGTTGGTGTCTCTGACTGGCTGGAGTATCCACTGGAAGGTGACATCAGTCCAGTGGGCCTTCCTGGGGAGGATACTTCTCTGGCCTCCACCTCGATGGAGAGTTGGGAAGGTGTCGTGGCTCTGGAGGTGGAAGGAGAGGCAAGAGATTCTGAGCTGCCTTGAACTTGGGTACACTCAATGACTGTGGTGCCAGTGGCAGTGCTGGAGCTAGACAAAGATTGGTAGGTGTCACCAGACTTCCAGTCAGTAAGATACCAGTGGTGGGAGAATTGTGTACCTTCTGAATCTTTGAGGGTTGGCACAGCTGGGTGACCCTGAGCATCTGGATGGGATGGGTTATGTCCTTGGTGTTCCAAAGACAGGCATAGGCTCCTGGGCCTCTGGTCCTTGGGCAATGCTGATCCACCTTCTGGCAAGAGGACTGGCTCATCTTTGACCAGTGAGACACTGCGTGTTGGTGGAGAAGGCTTCTTTTTGGCCTTCTTGAGCGAGATACTCTTGGATCTCTGCCTTCTGTGACGGGCCTCCTGCTCAGCATTAAGGGATGCAATGTTGTCAGCACTGTTACTGCCCTCAGAGCTTGTACTGGCATAAGGCAGAGCACAGGCCTCACTGGCCTTCTGTTCTTCTTCGTAGTCTACATCTGTGGTTCCTGATTCTGTGGGCACAGATAATGACCGCTCCCGAAATCTGCTGGTCCCACCTGGGCCTGTCTCAAGCCTTGAGGTACCACCAGTCAGAAGGCCAATCTTAGGGGGTCTTTCTGGCACTTGCCTTCGTTGAGTAGGGTGCTCAGAGTAGCCAGTTAACCCACTGCACCCTGCTGGGTTATCGCGGGTGACAAAAAGGGAAGCTGCTTCTTTAGGAACCAGAGGTGGAAGTGTATTCAGAGAGACCCAAGAATTCCCCGAGGAAGGATTTTTTCCATTTTCATTGACTTGACTGCTCTGGCTGGTGGCACTTGGAGTTATGTAGGTAAAAGCATCTCCCTTCCAGGAAGCAGAGAACGTTGATTCTGTTGGTCCATTGCAAGAACTGGGGACACTATACACCATTCCCATGCTCTCCATGCCAGGAGGGTCTGGGCCACCACGTGCCTGGTGAGGGTCTTCGGGCTCACTAGATGGATTTCTCAGTCCTGGAGAGGAGAGATTTGGGAACCGAGCTTCCTGCCCAACAGCAACTCTTCCATGAACATTTTGTGGAGCTGAGTGGCCAGGCCTGGTGTCTGAGGTGATAGGTCGAGCCACACTGCCTGCCGGGCTGTTGCTGTGACCTGCAGGAAGAAAGCACAGAACATTAGGGGTACAGCAAGGGATCCCTCATCAGCTGTTTTGAGACAGGAGCACCAACTTTTTGCCAAGAAGCATTTACCAACAGCTTGCTCACAATTCCTTGGTTCTTCCTTTTCATAGATGAGGATGCTGGGGAATTTGAGTTCCTGCCCATGGCCACAAGTGAGTCAGGGTACCCCTGAATTGTCCAGATGGCTGCCAAAGATTTTCCAGGTTTGATGATTCCCTTTAGAGGGGAAGAATCCCATGGGAACACCTTGAATTTTTCCCATACTTTCTCCCCAGGCTCATGAAACCATCACAGCCCCCAGTGTCTGTCAATCCTGACATGAGAGCAAAGGCTTCCAAACTGACTAAGGACAGCACTGTGTAACTTGCAGCTCTAGCAGCAAGTGTGGAATATGCCAGAGGTGGAATGCCCAGAACCTAACTGCATTTTTGGCACTTGTTGTTTTTTACCTTTGCAATGCAAAAGACTCAGAATAACCTATAGATGTGAGGAAACTGCTCAGGTGTTGCAAATCTTCAGAGGTTTTTCTCATATACACAATTATGACTATTGTATCATCATTATTATTACTTCTGCTAGAATTTGTACAAATAGCCACCATTTATTGAAAGTTGACTATATACCAGGCACATGTTAGGCAGATTACACAAAAAGTCTAATCCTCATAATGACTCAACTGGGTCAGTATCATTATCCCCAATTTACAGATGAAGAAGGTGAGGCTCAGAGTGGTTATGTAACTTGGACAAGGCCTCATGGTTAGTAAGTGATCACATCCATCTTTCTGGTGTGTGTGTTTTATTTTATTTTATTTTATTTTTTGTGGCTCTGGGAACTGAGGGCCTTGCACATGTTAGGCGAGTGTTCTACCACTGACATTCCAGTCTGGGTCTGTGCTCTTGGAAAGCATTTGGTAATAATGGTTCAGTGAAGAGGTGGTTTTGGTGGTGATCCCCCACCCCACCCTGTTTATCTATTTGTTTAAATTTGGCATATGTGGTCACATTACATACATTTATTTATTTATTTATTTATTTATGTGGGGGAGTACTTGGGATTGAACTCACGGGCACTCAACAACTGAGCCACATCCCCAGCCCTATTGTGTATTTTATTTAGAGACAGGGTCTCACTGAGTTGCTTAGCACCTCACGTTTGCTGAGGCTGGCTTTGAACTTAATGATTCTCCTGCCTCAACCTCCTGAGCATCTGGAATTACAGGTGTGCACAACCACACCCAGATACATTACATTTATAATGGAAAACAATAACGTAATGAGCAAATGAGTTCTGGGAACATGCTCTCCTTATTCAGTTGATGCCCTTGACAAGACTCTCCTGGCTATCCTTAATTACCACATTGGTTTTCTCAGGATGTCTAAAGTCCCACCCCTTTGAATTATTACTGTTCCCCAAAACCACAATGCCACTTGGGTGGCAGGACCGGTGGAAGTGGAAGAGGGGAAGGTTCTGGGGGATTGCTGTGGTAGGGTCACCTTGGTCTCGCTGGGAAAAGTTAGAGAATCCAATAATGGTCCGCCTCCGCCTCAGGGTGGACTTGGGGTTCACGGCTGTTTCTGTGTTAAACAACGAGTGTCGCAAACTTGCGTGTTTATCAAACTGCTGTCCTGTAGCCAAAATAAAGACACTTGGGTGCATCCTGGTTTCTCTTTAAAGTACAGTGAAACTGGCCTGAGGTAGAGAGAAGGGATGACGGCAGTAGCAATGAGCATGAATAGCATCCAGGTGGTGGCACTTCTTCCTTATCCTTCCCTATTTGGTGCAAGGGACACATGCTGTTTCTCAGGCTGCATCCAGGTCACCTTTAAATCTTAGGTGGATTAGGGCAATGGTTTTCAACCCTGACTTCATTCTGAAATAAACTGGGCAGCCTTTGACTCTTCCAAGGCCTGGAATCCACTCTAGAACACTTACTTCACTCTGTGAGAGTAAGGCCTAAGTAGAAAGAAGTATTTTCTAGAACCCCTCCTGCAGTTATTCAGATGTACAGTCAGGAGTGAAAACCATTAGTGCAGAGTGACTGTCTGAGATTAGATGTTGCTTGACTGTGATATCTTGTGAGAAAGTCTTTATGGGGGCCAGGTGAGGCCAGTGTCTCCAAGAAGCTGTCCACTGCTCCCCCTCCACCATCTAGGAAACAGCCTGATATTCTGTTCCACAGTCTCCTGGTCACATTTTACCAAAATTGGCTGCTGCATGGTGATGTTATCCCCCACACCCCCACTGGCTCTTTTTTCTTTTCTTTTTTTGTTTTTTTTGCAATGATCTTTTTTGCAGTGCTAGGAATGAACTTGGAGTCTTGCACTAGGTAAGCACTCTAGGAGCTACACCCCTATACTTTCTTATTATATTTTAAGACAGAGTCTCACTAAATTGTCAAGGTTGGCTTTGATCTTGTGATTCTCCTGCCTCAGCCTCCTGAGTAGCTGGGATTAAAAATGTGTACCGCCATACCCAGCTGAGCCCTAGCTCTCTTAAAGTTCTGGGTCAGTCTTTGGCTTCTGCGAAATTGCTGGGGCAAAGTGGGGGTGAGGCAATGCTGTGGAAGCAGGTACGCAGTTCCCCTCTCCCTGTCTCTCTTTCAGTAACTGGCTTAGTAGATCGTCCCCTCTCAGCCACACAGTTGAATGTGTGAGTATGCATGTGTGCATGCACATACACACACAAACATACAGATACACAGCAGCAAGTGGCTCTATGGGCAAAAGTCAGGGTCAGTAAGATAGTCATTTAGAAACAGAGTGCCCAATATCACTTTGTGAGTCTCTCCTCATCAGCCCTTATTCCTCTGGCATATTTCCCTAGGTGATGGACTCTACTTCCTGGCTTTCATTCCCCAAGATGACTCTAATTGCAAAGGATGTTCCCTTATCCAGGGAACATCCTCACATGTGGTCAGAGCTGTCCTCATTGTCTTCATCAACTTGTTCCAGCATAGCAGGGCTTGTGCTGGCTTGAAGTTTCCCTGTGATTCCTTTGGGTCACTAAGGTCTTGATTTCATCAGGTCCCTGGCCCTGTCTCTTCTGTCATGACTGGTTCTCTTCCTCTTCCCCTTAGAGCCAATGTTGCAGAGGATGCCACAGACCCCCAGAGTCACAGCCAGCTGGGCTATAAAGATTACCTCCCCACTCTCAAGGTTGTCCCAGGGTCCCTTTTGGTCTTTTTTGCCTTAATCTCTATTACTACATCCTTTTCTTTTTTTCTTTCTTTAGTGGTACTGGGAATTGAACTCAGGGGCACTCTACCATTAAGCTACAACCTCTGGCCCTTTTGCTTTTTTTTTTAGTTTTGAGACAGAGTTTTGCTAACTTGCTGAGACTGGCCTAGAACTCGTGATCCTTACTGCCTCAGCCTGCCAAGTAGCAAGGATTGCAAGTGTGCATCACTGTGCCAGGCTTACTATTTCCTTCTCTTGAAAAATTTGCCAAATAAGTTGAGGAGGCCCACCTTGCCGGAAGACCTAGTGTGTGGGAAAGGGCTTTTGGTCTGTGCCTGGGTGACCCTCCCCTCTTACCATCAGTCCTCTGACTCCTACCCTCCCACTCTGCCTTCAGTTTATACTCCAGACCTAGCTTTGTGCACATGACATTGTCTTTCTCCAAACCAAACAGAACTCCCAAACTTTAAGTTTCCATATACGCTCTGAAGAACATCCAAGTTCACAAAGTTTTAGAGCTTTCTGTTAAGAAAATTTTGTTTGCTATCAAATGGCATCAGCTAGAGTGGCAGTGAGGATAGGGAGTGAAGGAGAGCAGCCAGAGTCCCCCTTCTGCATGCCTCCATTCCCTAGTGAGAGCCGTGACTGTGACAGTGCAGGGTGAGCCAGTAGCAAGACAGTGGCCCTCCCTCCCCAGAACCCAGTGCATTTGGAGAGGATGGGCTGTAGTGGCATGGAGGGAAGCAAACAGGTGGTGCTAAGCAACTCTACCAGAGATGTTGATGGGCACAAGATCAGACTGCGTGGAGCAGGGCTGAGGCCACCGCTTTTCCTCTAGGATGGGCAGAGGGAAGGGGCCATTCCAGGCAGTTGGCTTGTCGGCTGTAGACAGGCTCAGGGAGGCCTCAGGGGCCCTCACACCCTGGGTGGTAGTCTCATCCTCGCTCAGCTGCCGTTTTGTAGGCTGTTGGGAGAGAAGGTGATGGAAAGGGTGTGCTACAGACTGGTGATGAACCAGAGCCCACAGGATGACTGTTTAGGCAGAGTGGTTGGAGACTTCATCTGGGAGGCAGAAAAGCGTGGACAGGTTGCCTGCAGGTTGCCTGCTGTGCAGGGCCCATCCAGTGGGGCCTCAGAGAACTCTGCTGGTGAGCAGAGGTGAGCAGTAGCTTCCAGTGGGCAATGTAAGCAGCTGGAGGTCCCCTGTCAGTGGAAGCAGGCTGGCTCTCCCAGGTGGGGTAAGAGGCAACTCACCATCAACACAAATTCCAGACGTTTGGCAGACTGGGGCCTTGAGCTGGGGGTGGGCTCAGGGGCCTCATCAGAAGAGCGGAAGGTCTGCCCCAGAAGTCTGGCTTCCGAGTACTGTTCCTCATATTCTTCTGAAAAATAGCACAGTGGAGACACACTCTAGGGGGCCAAGGCCAAGCACTGGGCTCGGGGAGGACCACAAGCCAGGGCTCCTGCACTAGCTGCCAGGCCTGACTCATGTTCTTTCTTTGGACTATTCCTGGTGTTGGAGCCACTGGATTTGGAAATAGAAAGATGCCTGCTTCCATGAGGGCAGAGGAGAAAAGAAAGTCAATAAATCTGAGCTGTGTCACTTCAGGCACCAAGTCTTCATCTGATGGCCTCTACCTTAAGTCCTCAAATCAGAGTAGTGGCTCAGGATGCAGATACCTTTTGCTAAAAGGTCCTTTGTTTGAAGCCCTATAGCTCTTCAGATTTTCCGCAACTCTAGCAAGGAAAGATCTACGTGAAGCAAGGAGAGATCTAAACTGGAAAGTCCTGTCTGGAGCTCTTTCCTGGATGACAAGAATTCTTACTTGAGCTTGTATAGATCTGGTTCCACTGCGGGTGGGGTCATATCTAGGAAGGCTAAGGGGAAGAAGAGGAAAGGAGAAGGTAGCAGCATAGAAGAGGGCCAAGTTCAGGGGCATCACCAGGGAATAAGGATGAATGAGATTTGAATGGATTTGACTGAAGAGATGACGCAGATGAATAAATGAAGGAAGAGACAGTAAAAGAACAAACATTCATGGCTCTCTATACTTTGGACAAAGACTTAGAATCATGGAAACTTGGGCTTGCTCTTAGGGTTCTTTAATCCAACACTCAGTTTTGTGCTCAGACTTCCTCCTCAGCAGCCCTTCTACATGCTCTTTTTTTAAATGGCTTTTTATGAACCTTTATTTTATTCATTTATTTATAAGCAATGCTGAGAATTGAACACAGTGCCTCACACATGTGAGACAAGCGCTTTACCATTGAGTCAGAACCCCAGCCCCGATGTGCTCTTTCAGCATCAGAGCACACACCTGCAGGGAAGGGGAACTCACTCCCTCCCAAGGGCAGCTCATTCCTTCCATGGACAGTTGGGGCAGTCAAGCATATCAGAAAAGTTCTTCCTTATCTGGAGGTGGAATCTGCCTCCCTCTGAATTTCTAACCACTGGTCCTAATTCTGCCCATGGCAGCAATACAGAGAACACCAACTCTTTTTTTCTGCATGGCAGCTTCTTGTTATCTGAACACAAGGCTCATGGTGTCCCTCAGCACCTCGCTTCTCTAAGGTCACCACTGCCTTAGTAGGGAGGTGGAGGTTATGGCTACAGTCTAGTTGGGAGGCCCACTGGCTGTTTTTTATTCTTCATTGGCATTAACTGTTGTTGGTATAGATAAACAAGAGCTGACACAAGACCTCTATGCATTTAGCATCCACCAGGCATGTCTTGGGGGATCCAGCCCTGCATCAGGGGCTTCTGGAAACCCATGAGTAGTAAGAGATGTGATTTTTTTTTGAGATGCTGTGAATAGAACCCAGGACCTGGCAAATGCTAGGCAAGCCTTTGCCAATGTGCTACATCCGCAGCCCAGAGATGTGATTCACATGGAGAGGAAACTCAGTCTGGTTAAGAGTACAAAACAGGGGAAGTCTGAGTGCTGTATAGTGGGCTAGTGAGGTGCTAGTGAGGTAGTTGCTAAGCAGGAGGCATGTGGGCACAAAGTTACTGTAAGAGCAGAGTGAGTGAAGCCCAGAATGGGAGACCCCACAGATGCCCCCTTTGTTTCCTGATGCCAGGATTCCAGAGGCATGGGCAATGAGTCAAGAAGATGGTTGGAGGGAATGTGGGCCTGCATTGTGGGAGTCTCCCACCAAGATCTCTTTATGAAGGGTTTGCCCCACTGCTTTGCCTTAGCCTCTGTCCATCCCAGCACCTATGGACTACTGAACTGAAAACAGAGGAGCAGGAGACAGACATGGAAATAGAATGTTTAAGAATAATCAGTCTGTAAGGTGAAGATAGAGAACATGTGCTTTGTTTTTTGATAGGTTTGAAACTGTTCATTTTTCTCTCGCTGGTCCCTGTCCTCTTTCTTCTTTTCCTTTCTCCTCCTGCTGCGCAGCTCGCAGCTCGCCTCTGGGCTCCGGCCGCAGCCCCCCTCCCTCTCAGTACCTTGCAACAGGCTCTGGAGATTGAGCTGCGCCTCGCGAAGCAGCTCTTCTACACTCGGGGGCCTGCCAGAGGAGAGGAACACGTTCACTGGCTGTCGCCATGACGACCTCGAGTGGGCAGTCGCTGTCGCATTTTCCCGACTCGAGTTAGCTGCAGCTAGGGAAGGAGAGAGTCAGTGAGAGGCGCAGCTGAGGAGGGGGTGGGGAGCGGCGCTCCTCGGCCAGTGGGCGCCCGCGTTTCCTGAAGACCCGCCCCTGCCGGGGGGGGGGAGGGAGCGTGAGGCTGCGCTTAAAAGGCAGGGAATCGCTGTCCGCAATATTTTTCCTCGACAGATCCTGCCGCAGTCTGCTCCCTCCCGCACCACCCTCCTCCGCCCTCCCGGCAGTAGTCGCCGCCGCCGCCGCCGCCGCCGCGTCTCCTGTGTCCTCTGCCTGTGTTTCCTGGTCCTGCACCGCCGCTCCCGCTTGTTCTCTTCGACCCCGGCCTTGAGGTAACGCGTCCAGGGCCAAGCCGCCGGGCCCTCCGCCCCGAGCGCCTGCCCTCAGTGCTCGCCGCGGTGGGTGTGGCTCGGCCTGCCCTGTGCCCTACTACCGCACTTCGGTTTCCTCTTGCTCGCCGCCGCTACATTTCGGCCTCCTCCCCGGGCCCCTAGCTCCCCGCCCCCACTGCCGGAGACCGAGCCCCTGAGCTAGTCAAGATGTCCGAGGCGGCAGGAAATCTCAATAGCCTCCGCATGGCGAATGTGGCCCTGCGAGAAGAATTAAATGCCCTTCGCGGGGAGAATGCCAATTTGGGCCTTCAGCTGGGAAGAGCCCTGGCCGAGGTTAATTCCTTGCGGGGCAATGTCTCCAGCTACGTCCGCTGGCCAGTGCCCATAGTACCCCTTATTGCCGAGGAGAACTTTGAGTTCCCGCTCAATGAGATCGACGCCATTCCCGAGGGAGAGGGGCCCTTCTTGTGGCCTCCCCAACGCACAGATCCCGAGTTTGTCTCGGATGATCTTTTGATTAACGTGATCCAGGACTACAGCAACCCCCACGGGGTCAGTGATCCTCCTCTGCCGCCTAGCCCACCCCCGCCGGAGCAGCCCTCACCCCCAGCGTCAAAGGAGCCACCCCCGCAGCAGCAGCAGCAGCAGCAGCAGCAGCCGCCGCCGCAGCCCCAGCCCCCGCCGCAGCCCCAGCCCCAGCCCCTTCTGCCACCATTGGAGAGACCTAACATACGGCTCTTTTCTGGCGATCCAGTCTACCTGGCTGAATTCCTGATGCAGCTAGAGACCTTCATAGCTGACCATGAGGATCATTTCCCTGGGGGTGCTGAGCGGGTGGCCTTTCTGATCTCCTTTTTCACTGGTGAAGCGAGGGACTGGGCCATCTCTGTCACCCAGGAAGGAAGCTCCCTGCATGCCAACTTCCCGCGCTTCCTGGATGAAATCCGTAAGGAATTCCGTGGCCCCATACCCCCACGAGTGGCTAAAAAGGCCATCCGAAAGCTCAAGCAGGGAAACTGTACCCTGGGCAGCTATGCAGATGCTTTTCAGTTCCTGGCCCAATTCTTGTCTTGGGATGACTGCCGCCTCCAAAATCAGTTCCTCAAAGGCCTGTCGGAATATTTCCGAAAGGAGCTCTTATGGTCAACTGAAATGGCCGACCTGGATGAGCTGATTCTTGAGTGTGTGGAGATAGAAAGAAAAGTGCGCATCCCCAAGCCAATCAAGCTCCCTGGGGTGCGCAATGTCGTCCCTCCTTTTGCTCCCACCCCTGATGAGGAAGATATTATTGATGAACAGCGCTACCATGAGGATGATGAAGATGGGATATGCAGACACAGCTCTTCCCTGAAGGACCAAGACATAAGGGCTTTTGGGCAAGAGGTGATAGAGGAGGAGAAGGAGAAGAAGATGAGGGAGGAGGAGAAGATGAGGGAGGAGGAGAAGATGAGGGAGGAGGAGAAGATGAGGGAGGAGGAGAAGATGAGGAAGGAGGAGAAGATGAGGAAGGAAGAGGAAGAAATGAAAAAGGAGAAAGAGAATGAGGAAGAGGACGAGGACAATGACGACGACGATGATGATGATGATGAAGATGATGATGATGAGGAGGAGGATGAGGATGAAAATGAGGAGGGTGAGGAAGATGAGGAGGAGAAGGAAGAGGAGGAGGAAGAGGAGATGAAACAGAAAGAGGAGGAGGAGATGAAGAAGAATGAGGATGACGATGAGAATAAGGATGAGGAAGAAGATGAAATTGAGGTGGGGAGCCAGGAACCAGAGCAGGAGCCAGAACAGGAGCAAGAGAGGGTGCCATTGTTTGAGGAGATGTTTGGTGAGATGGGCCATGAGCACCACCATCACCACCACATCCACCACCACCACAATGGGATCCATGTGATAGAAGAACTGATGGAGATGGAGGAGCCTGTTCTTGTTGACACTTCAACCCAGACGATTAGCACAACCATTGGCTACCATGCTGAGAATTTCCTGGGTGCATCACCTCCCATAATACAGCCCAGCAGACGGAGGAACCAGAATCGAGTCCCACTTCTGGAGGGCCTTCCAGGTACCAATTCACCATTCTACAGCTCCCCACCACTGATTCGCCGTGCCGGTCGCTTGGGGCAACGCCAAATTCGAAGACGTCCCCCGGTGCTATTCCGCCTTACTCCGAGACAGGGGGGCCACCGAGCTGCTCGTGGCCGAATTCGCGTGTGAGTGATGGGGCAAACTGGCCACCTGGAACACACCCTTCTACTGCGTCCCCTGCCCCTGCTATTGCTGCCACACTTGCCCCATGTACTGACCAGTCCTTAAGGGAGTTCCAGACCTGCCCAACCTGAAGAAGACCTGCAGAGTTCTAGACTATCTCGCAACCATGATCAGAGAGAGTGACATGTGCTCAGCCAAGGCCACCTGGGAAAGGATAGGATAGCAAAAGCTGTCCTCTTGGCATATACTCTGCTCAGTCCTGCCACAAGCTAGAGAGCAGGTTTCTGGGCCTGTTCTCGTGAATGAACTGGTCACCCTTTTGTATTCCCCTCTAGTTGTGCCCAGCCTCTCCTGCGTTTATTCACCCTGTGTTCTACAGTTTTATCCTCCAACTGGCTCACCAGAACTTCACCCAATGCCTCATTGATCTGCCCCAATGATTGAAAGGACAAGCTACATTGAACTCCTAAAGCCACTGAGGCCACTTACTAAATATAATGGACAGCGAGCAGAATGACACCGGGAAATGTGCCTAGAAGGCTATGCTTGTTTTGTGCTACACCTCCAGCAGAAGGGCCTGGAAGAGGACCCTACATGTAGCCCAGTGAGAGTGTGCAAAGCCACATGTAAAATTGACAATTTGAGATTTGTTTGTCCTTAACTGACTGTGGCAAGCTGCCTCCACTTCCAGCACTTGAGTTCATCTTTCTTCAGACTCCTATATTAGAGCCCTTGGAACGGCTTGGCCAAATCTGGGGCCTTCTCCTCTTACTACACTGTCCTCCTGGACATCCCCAGAATACAGCTCGACATGGCAGGCCCCACCCCTTTCCTTGATGGTGCCTAAAGGGGCATTTGGGGTGGTAGAATAGGAGGAGGAAGAGGGAGAAACCCCATGACTGCTTCAAATCCTACAGAGTAAATTTCCTTAGGGAAGAGGGTCTTCTTTCCCAGCCAAGCTTTGGACTCCAGCCCCCAGCCAAAGGTCTCTGCCAGCGACTTTCTGTCCTAGAGGCGCCCTCACTAACCTTCCCTTCCAAGATAACCAGAGAGAGAGTGAGCAAGCGCCCACGGCCTGCTCCTTAACTCCCTCCAACTCTTAAGGAGGAGAGTCGGAAGGTTGCCTCTACAGAGATTGTACCCACTGCAGCCTTGCATCTTGGACACCTGCTTGGCTCTCACATGGGGGTCAGTCTCTGGGCTGTTGCTGTACTTTGATTGGACAGTAAGGCTGATGGGGGTGATGCCTCTTAGGCACTCCTGGGACTCCTCAGTACAAACCCAGACAGGTGCCCTTATAGAGAGACCTGCTGTTTGCCTTGAGTCCAGAAAACACTGCTTCTTCAGTGAAAAATACACATTTACTATGTCAGCTCTGGCCATGAAATGCCAGCCAAATCCACTCCTTGCCTGAACTGCCCCTGGACACTGAACTCTCTGCACAGTGCCTGGCAGCTGGGCAAGTGCAGCCAAAGTGTCTGTGGCCAGAGGGAAGAAAACAGTGAATGAAGTCTCTGTTCCTCACCGGAGTCTGACAGATAACCTCAGCCCAGCCTTGGGATTTGGGGCCTAGAGGCCAGAGGAAGGAGCTGGAGGAAGAGGAGTCACAGAGATCCAGTCCTCAGACTGGTTTCGGGTGAGATCTCTATTCATCAGTGGGAGGTAAGATGCCCTTTTGTTTATAACTTTTGTTTCTCAACTTGGGAATCAGTGGGGTCAGGTTCCTATAACCTGTTGCTACCTTTAAAAAAGGTTCCCTAAGGAAAGAATAATACATAGTCATTATAGGAAAATTGGAAAATAGAGAAAACCCTAAGGGAAAAATACTCCAAACATGCAGATGTAAGTACTGTAAACAGTTTGCTGCTTTTCATTCTAGTGTGTTCTTCCTGTGTCTTTTCAAAGTTGAGATCATCCTGCTAGCTTTCCATCAGCAGGATTTAAAATGGCTGCCACCTCTGCCATTATGGATATTGAATACTTTATTTAAGAATCCTTCTAATTTGTTAGACGTGTCAGTTGTCTGGTTTTCCCCATTCCCACCAGGGGAGAAGTAAACAACCTTGTAAAGATAGTTTTATCTGTTTTTCAGCTTATTTCCTTGGGAGAGAGTTCCAGAAGGGGAACAGCTATTCATCGAGGCTGTGGATCCTGTTTGCTGATGTCAACACGCTGGCCCTGCTGCCTGTGAACTTGTGGAGAAGTGCAAAGGACAGGTGCCTTGCACCCCCACTTCCAGGGATCCCTCAGCACAGGCCCTGCCTGTTCCCATGGTGCTCACCCTGAACCCTTGTAGCCTCAGCCAGGGAGAGAGTGGATGAGCAGTGAGCTGGTTTCCGGGCCTCTAGGGGCAGAGGGGGCTTGGGCTTCCCTTTGACCCTCTCCCCGCTTTCCCAGATCTTCAATATTTGTTGTGATGTGACAGCCACAAGAGCTGTAAGAGGAACTATGAGCTTTGGGTGTTTCCTTGGGTTGAAAGAGGGGTGGGGGGTGGGTGGGAAATGCATGCAGGGGTATGAAGGCAGCCCAAGAATTCCCAGAGGCTCGGGAGGAAACCCCCTTGAAATAAATGTGTTATTGTTGTGTTATTGTTGCACTATTGTGTTGTGAAGATAAGAAATTGCTCTGTACGCTAAAGCTTCTCTCCTCAATAAAAATATAAAGGGTGTGTAAAGATCGTGTCTCTGTGTTATTGAGCAAGCAGAGATGGGTACCTAGGAGGCATCAGGTACTTTCTAGGCACCCTGGAACCCCTGCCTGAAGCCTTGAAATTCTTAGATGAGCAAAGGAGGCTCAAGAGGGCTGCCTATAGGCCTGCACTTTTGTGGATGGCAGAAATTGTTGGGAGGGAAGTAGAAACATGGGGCATCTTGAAAAATTGCATTAGTTCTACACATGCACACAGCGGCGACTTTGAGTGAACTAAGGGAAGCCAGGCTAAGTGAGTAGGGAAGAGTGCCCTTCCACTTTGTGGCACTAGGTGGTGCTATGAGTCGCCAGTGAGCTAGCTGGTGAAGCTTTAGAAACACAAAACCCCAGAGCAGTGGCTTTCCAGCAAGATTTCCCCGCTCCTTGCAGACTGTGGGGTCAGAAGAAACTCAAGCCCATTCTTGGATTTGTCCAAGTTTCCTAGATATTTTTTCCCCTGAGGAAGTGGGTGGGGAATGCTCATTAGGCCCCTGTTACTTCTGTGCCAGGTGCTTCACATCTATCATCTTACTTCATCCTGAGGGGCAGGCACTATTCTCACCTTCATCCTGGACATGAGGACACAGACATAGGGAGAGAAGTCACTGCCCCATTGGTACCTTCATAGCCCCACAGTTGCTACTTAGCTCCTGAGACACTTAGCCCCACCTCAGCCCCTACTTCTTTGGTCCTTCTGTCTAATAGGCCAGGCTGGACTGGTTCTGCCCTGCCCTGCCTCTTTCTCCAGCTTAAAGAATTCCAGTGGAGATACAGCTCTCATTTCTGAGGCACATTTGCCTTGCATCCTTAAGAGTAAGGAGGGAGGAAACCAGCATGTTTCTGATCATGTTGGGCCCTTTCACCAGCATCACCTCATTTCATTGCCAAAATATTTCAGTGAGACAGGTAATGTCTCCCTTTAGAGCTGAGGGATCTGAATCTCCAGATTTTAGGTTCCATGGGGGGCTCCAGGTCTTTGTGACTCACAAATCCATGCTTTCAATTCTAGTGCACCATGCTGTCTCACAGGAAAGCCTCTCCACAAGCGCAATCACAGGCCAACTGCATTCTGAATCTTGTCAAAGAAACCAAGTATGTGTCAATTGCACTAGATCTTGAGTCTCTAGGAAAACCAGCCAGGTGGTTATTTGTCCTGCAGGGAAGGGCCTGCCCAGGAAGGCAGGCTAGTGGCAGTGCTAAACATATAGCTGACTACACTTTTGGAGGAGGGATGGGGCTATGGAGCTGTGAGCTGCCTCAGTGAGCACTGGGGCTCCCACTTAGGCTTCAGGGGGTCAGAAAAGGTCTCCAGCACTCACTGCTGGGATTCCTCATGATGTCACAGGTAGGAATAAGTGAGTCCAGGTGGTATAAGGACCAATCAGGGCAGGTAAGAAAAATAGAAATCCTTATCTCAATCCTTCAGTTGGAAGTCCTGTGAAGCTAGGGAAGAGAGCCTGAGATTTTAGTCCATCCCTGCCATTAATTCCATTTGGGATCTTGGAAAAGTCCGATCCGCTCTCTGGTTTCATCTGTTTTGTCACTGTTGAGACCCTGGAACCTAGCACATGGCTTGGTACACAATAGGAACTCAACACTAGTCTGGCACATAAATGAAAATGTGAGTAAACAGGCTGCTGGATGGAGACCTAGAGGAAGCCTGCTAAGGGCATCTGCAGGGAGTACTAGAGGATTCCCTCCAAAATGGAAACAGGAGCTAAAAAGTATCTCCCTCACCTGGAGGGATATATTGACATGAACTTACATTCAGGTTCAGAATCCAACTGTAGGAGCCGGGGTGGGGGAGACATGGCTTAGAAGCATGTGAAAAAAAATGCAAGTGTATGTGGGCTGAGAATGAACTGACAGATTAGAGATGCTATTGCCTTCCTGGGCTGCTGCAAGCACCTAGAGGTGAACAGGCCCCACCTGGGGTCCTGGCTTCCTAGCAGGAACCTTTTTGCATTGAGGAGCAAGGAAATACCAGAATCAAAGAAAAGAATGAGAGAAAGGGGGAGGCAGTGGAAGGGGGGCTGGGGGAAGGCAGAGAATATCTTGCAACATGTGAAGCAGGCTAGTTTGTTGTAATCACACTTTTTATAAGTGAGGAAATGGGCAGCCAAAAGGTAGCAATTGGCCTAAAATCACTGGCCTCATGTCTGGAGTTTGACCTTGAACCCCAGCAGTCTGACATCCAGAACTGGTACTCTTAAACTCTATCCTCTACCCCCACTGAGGCTGAAAGAATCAGAATCTCCAGGAATTTCTATTTCTAAAAGCTCTCTAGGCAATTCTAATGCCCTTCCCAGCCCAAGGCAGAACAAAGACTTGGGGACTAACTAGCCCAGGTGACATTCAATGGTTCTGAGCCTTCCCATACAATTCCCAGAGCAGGAACCAGCCCAGAGACCCAGTCCCATCAACCTAGGAAGTGACTGAGAAATAAATGTGCTAAGATTCCCCAGCATGTACTATAGTCTGATGTAAGCTCACATATCCTGGACACATCCCTCAGATAGCTGCTAATACCCTCCTGAGAGAAACTGTGACAAAGGGTGGGTGCTAAAGTCTGGTCTTGGAAAACTAGGTCCATTGGAGCCAAAGCTTGTGCCCTTGACCTTCAGAACTGGCTCATGAGGCTGTGGGAGGGGCTGTGTGGGTTCCTCTGGGGGATAAGCACAGGCATTAACAAGCCCAGAAACTACCCTCAAACGGGGAGGTCCACCTCAGGTTAGCACTTCCTGCATCCTGCCCAGACTAGGGAAAACTCAGCAGGCCACCTCTCCCTGGGGACTCCATGCAGAAACACAAAGCCCAGAGTTCTTGGTTGCCCTGGCAACAGCAGGACCTACTTGGAAGAAAACAGTCTTTTAAAGGCTTAAAAGGGTGGATATTTCCTTTGACAGAGAGCAGGCCCTGACCTGCTCCCTGCATCCTCCTCCCCTTCCTGTCAGCCCCACACATATGGGTAGAGCTGGGGCCCCTCATCTCAGCAACTCTTCTAATGGGGATGGGGGTGGGGTGTGTATTTTCTGGAAAGCAGGGCCCTGGCTTTTTATTCAGCTCTCACTGTGGGCTGTTAATGTGAGAAAGAGGCTGAAATGGAAGGTGTGAACTCCTGGCAATGGCCTTGTGGCCCAAGGAAGCCTCATCTTGTAGAACCCACACAACAGAACATGAGGAAGGCAAGTGTTCTCAGCAAGTCTAGTCTTCCTACCCATTTACTGCACAGAGATGAGACCTGTCTGGGCATGGGACACTGTGGAGGTGGCCAGAAGTTCCAGACTTCTTCCTATTTCAGCATCTCTTCCTCTTCCTCCTGGACTATTAAAGTAGCTCCTTGCTAGTCTACCTGGCCCCTAATCTCTACTTCTAATCAATGTATCTTCTATATGCCTGTGTGGTGGTGTTGGGGGCATGCTATGGTGGTCCTTTGAATTCACAGATTTGGACTTGTTGCTCCTATACAAAACCCTCAATGGCTCCCCTTCCTCAGAGGAAGACTTGTGGACCAGACTCTGGCATTCTTCACTATCTGGTCATAAACCACCCATGCTGTCTCATCTGCCCATGCTATCCTTCTCCTTTCTCTTTAGTCCAAACTTCAGACATCATGAATGAGTTCCTTCTTTAATTCATATATCAGGCCCCCTAGCTTCTCTTTTTGCACATTCCATTCCCTTTGCCTTAAAATTTCACAAACATTCTGGGCAAAACCATAGTCCCAGTTACTCGGGAGGCTGAGGTAGGAGAATCACCTGAGCCCAGGAGTTCAAAACCAGCCTGGGCAATATAGTGAGAACTGGTGTCAGAGAAAAAGATAGAGAGAGATAGATAGATAGAGAGAGAGAGAGAGAGAGAGAGAGAGAGAGAGAGAGAGAGAGAGAGAGAGATATTCCAAACACAGGTCCCATTCTGAAGTAGAAGAAATAAGAAATAGGTAGAAAAGGGATGGGGATGTGGCTCAGTGGTAGGGTACTTGCTTCTCATGCATGAAGTCCTAGGTTTAATCTCCAGCACCACAAAAAAGGAAAAAATAAATAAAAGGTAGAAAGGTGACACAAAGGAAGGACAAGAAAATAGATTTTTTTTTTTTTTGCAGTACCTGGAATTGAACTGATGGGAGCTCTATCATTGAATAGCAACATATCTAGCCCTTTTTATTTTTAATTTTTAGTTGTGACTGGGTCTCACTAACTTGCCCAGGCTGGCTTCCAACTTCCTGAATAGGTGGGATTACAGGTATGCACCACCACTCCTGGCAATAAAATAGAATTTTAATTCAGAAGTTCAGCATACTTTTCCAGACTTGTCACTCCTGGAGCCTATCTCCCTTCCAAGCTCATTATTCCTAAATTTTTAGGAAATCTGTAAATTTATATGTGCACTGTTAATTACCTCCCCACCTAAATAGAATAAGCAAAAAAAAAAAGACATTTTGAGAAACCTATAATTTAGGGGACTTTCCAATGCTATCTATTGGTCAGATAATGAAGACCACCTCAGCCTAAGGATTCTAGATTCACTAGACCACCAGAAGCTGTCTTGAGATCACTGGACTCAGATCATTCCTGCCTATCTTTCCATACCCACCCCTCATCAGTTTCCTTTAAAAGAAGAGTTATGAATTCCAAAAATGTATCTCTCACTCTTGAGATGGCCCTCGTTGCATTCTCCCTTGGATGTGTATTCCTTGCCTTACCCCCAGAGGGATCTCCCTTGAGATCACTCCAATTCTCCCTTGAATACATTCTACTTCACTAAAAGAACCTCTCTCTATGCCTGTGAATGGCTTGTGCTGAAATTCTTTTCTGTCACGAACACCACTGGTCCTGAGTCAAGTCTCTTAGGATCTTCTTCAGAGAAACCTCTCCTCCTGTGACAACTCCACCTGGCAATCTTCTCAGCTTCTTCCATGAAGCTGCTTCTACTCTGCAGAAAAGCCCCATCCTTTCTGAGTTTCCACTCAGCCCCCTACCTCTAGGT